AAAGGTTGAGGAGAACAAGAAGACTGAGGAGGCAGAGAGCTCAGAGATGAAGGCTTCAACACGCAAGGAAAAGGAGAGCTCTAGCAACAAGAAAAGCGAGGAGAAGGCTTCAAAGGTTGAGGACAAGAAGACTGAGGAGGAGAAGAAGCCTTCAAAGGGCAAAGAAAAGGAAGGGTCAGGCAAGAAGAAAAACGAGGAGAAGGCTTCAAAAGTTGAGAACAAGAAGACTGAGGAGGCAGAGAGCTCAGAGAAGAAGGCTTCAAGGAGCAAGGAAAAGGAAAGCTCGAGCAACAAGAAAAGCGAGGAGAAGGCTTCCAAGGTTAAGGACAAGAAGAAGGCTGAGGAGGCAAAGAGCTCAGAAAAGGAATGCTCGGGCAAGAAGAAAAGCAAGGAGAAGGCTTCAACGGTTGAGGAGACAAAGGGAGGAAATGAAGAAGAAGGGAAGAGCAAAGAGTCTGAGAAGAAGAGGAAAGCTAGAGAAACAAATGAAGCTGATCTACCCGAGATGGAGACCTCACAAAAGAAGACTTCAAAGAAGGAGAAAAAGAAACAAGGTCACAAGCGGAGGTCCTCTCCTGATGCTTCGGCGGAGGCGAAGCGTGCAAAGGTTCCCTCTGACCTGCCTGCTGGTGATTTGCCAGCTGGAGCGACAGCTTCGAAGAAAGCCACCACCTCCAGCATGGATGGGTCGGATCTGTCAGAGGTGGGGTTTTGGTGTTGTTTCCACAAACAGCTATCCTTTTGCCCGAGGTGTGTTTTTTGGTGCTTCTTCCACAAAATACAAAACATCGATCCACACCGGAAAAAAACACCCTGATAGGTGGAACGTGCAGCCACACCCAAGAAGATTGAGCAGGTGAAGACTATGCCCAGCATTGACCTGATGGCCGCTCTTGCTGATCTAGACACCCCTGCACCAGGAACTACACCTTCAACAGTGAAGGTTTGGTTTGATCGAAATTTACGATATCGATCGACCTATAAATTATATAATCCAAGATCGAGGTCAAGACGACTATAATAGAGGATTATAATAGTTTGTGTTCCCTCGACCTCTCTTTTGGTTGGTTGGAAGCCCATTTGTGCCAAATTAAAGCTAATTCCCTGATCCGGAGGCCACGCCGGAGTCTGGGACTTCAACTACAGCTTCTAGCAAAGTGAATGCCGGCAAGACTGCCAGAAAGATAGCTTTCACGGACGAAGAGAAACAAAAGATCACCAGCATGGCAAGTCCTTCGGAAATGGAACGGTCCGAGAGAAAACGCCAGTACTCAGCATTGAGACGGGCAATCCACCGTGCAGCAAATCCCGCTCTCACTGCCAAATTTTCTTTGTGCAATGACACCGAGCGCTTTGCAATGCTGAAACAATGGGTGGTAAACCCAGACACCTCCTCAATTGAGATTGAGGAACGCTACGTTTCATGGGTGGAGGAGCTCAGGACAGATCGCTATGTTTCAGTATCTTGGCCATCAATTGATGCCTCGATCTTTTATATTTGTTTTGTATAAAACCGATATATTTAAAGGGTGCTATATTGGCTGTTTTGACAATCAAGGTCTCAATCTTCCAACTCGAGAAGATCTATGGGAAGAGTACTGAGGCGAAGAAATTCATCGCGGAGCTGTGCAAGGGACACTTGGATTTCATCGGCATGTTTTCTTTGGAAGGGATCAACTTCTCACCTTGCCAATCCACCCTTGTTCAATCCCGTCAATCCCTGTGCAAATCAGGACAGGAGGGCACTCCCCATCCCCAAGCGCCAGAATCCAAGAAGGGACGCATCTACAAGGTCCTCAAGGAGGTGATCCATGAGCAGAAGCAAGGCAGTACAGGGTCCAGCTCAATGAGCTTGAGTGGGCGTGTCCGTGGGCAAGCAGCCAAGGAGATGCTGAGCAAACAGCTTGGCAAGGCTTTGGATGGCTTTGGTCAGGGAACTCTGGACCTGAAGACTGGCCGGATCAACCAAAAGAAAGTCAAGAAACCCAAGACACCAGAACAACTTGCACTTCAGGAATGCAAGGTTCTCCATGGAAAGCTACTCGAATTGACAACATAGTATGTTGGGTATGTCACTTGGTTTCCTGAACCTTTTGTGTTGACTTAGTGGACCAACATGATGGGGGAAGATTGTACCCAACATCACCCAACCAAGGTTGAAGAAGCTTGACAAAGATCTGCCGACTTTCTTCTTAATTCAGTTGACTTTTGTTTTTTACCCTTTGAGTCTTTGAGGTCCACATACTATAGAAAGCGCCATGCAAAGTTCTGGGGTTGTATAGCCTGCAGGACTCTGATCTCGGACATCCAGAAGTATGGTGTTCGCAATTCCGATGAATTGCTTTCGGCTTTGCGATTGCATGTAGCTGAAATCTGTGAACCTCTTGCAAGTGCAGCTGCAAAAGCTGGCACTCCGTTGACCGGTGTAGACCCCGATGATATGATGAATTTTGTAGAGGCTGAGAAGCCGTTTCTCGCAACCTGTGAAACAGATTGCCGTGATGCTCGCCGCAGGATTGCTGCAGCTAAGGGTCCGAAGAAAAAGACTGTACCTGCTGAAGAGCAGGATGACAAGTCGGATGAGGATGAGGATGATGCATCCGGCGAGGCCTAAATTGATAGTGATAGTGTTGCTATTGTAGTTCGAGCTCGACCTCATTACTGGGAGTTTCTATTTGGGGCCCGTCGGATTGCCCTCGTCGGAGTCACTCATGACTTTAGTTGCCAGCTGCGCCAATTCAACTGGCCATTCTGATTGGCCATGACCCTTTGCAAAAAATCCTTTAAGACCAAACAGCAATGTTTTGATGAAGGGGGGAAATAGAAGTCCTGCAAAAGCAAGGGTCCAATTTAGTGCAAGCATCACGGTTCACACCAGGACTGACATGTTTAAAGAATCTCAATTATATATATCTTAATCTCGATCGAGGTAGGATTTAATAAAGCTTTTCTCCTCAACACTGGTGTGCTGCGGTTTCAGTCCCTGGCTTTGAAAACAAGGCCAGCTGTGGGGATGCAAAGACTTAGAGCACAGCATCTATATCTTTTCTTTGGTGTTGGGTGAGGTGCTTTGCAATGTCTTTGCCATGTTTTGGGGATGACCCTCATCAATCGTGGCCGACAGAAGGAAAATTCGCCCATCTATTTCAAGCGCCTCTTCAGCTTCGCATGTTGAGGTTTTCTTCAGCTCCTGTGGCCGCATGACTGAATGACATTGCAGTAGTTCAACGACATGCCCACCGCCCACTTCCCACAAAAGACCCTAAGCAATTATATCAATCCCTCAAACTTGGGCTCCAGGTTTCACTGCGGGCACCCATGGATGTAGTTGAAGAGTTTCTAGAATTGGGAAGGGATGTTTCAGTCCCTACAACTGTCAAAATGCTTGGGGTTCTGGAGAAGAGCTTTCCTCGACGCTTGCTGCCGACACCTGTCAGCAATACTGATTTGTACTGCGAACCATGTGTGGGTGGATAACCTTTTTGGAGGGGTTGATCTAAGAATCTAAGGAAAAACTTGAAAGGTCTGTTGGACTTGGTGAAGAACACCAACAACGAGAAAAACATGTCCCGCTTGTTCTGGAGATGGTTGGACAAGCAGCCCTGGCGCAAAATGATGCCAGCCCCGTTTCAGAAGCTTGGAATTCCAAACCTGAATACATTATGAAATCGATAGAGATATCGTGATTGGTATTATATGTATATACTGTTTCCTTTCGATCAAATCCATCTACATCGAAGCGTGTGCCCAGGGTACCTGTCGTCCTTTGGGATCCTAGCCGGAGTGATCCACATCATATTTCCAATTGGCATCTCTATTTGCCAAGTGAAATGCACCTCGACATAAACACTTCAAGCAACAAAGATTATATGGAACTCTGGATCGACTTGTGTTAGTCATGCAGGTTTGCTTCAATTTATCACTACAGCTGGAAGCTATTTGAACAGCGCTTCTTGGGGGAGCCAGGTGTGCCTCTCCTACTCTTGAGAGATCTTGAGAGAGGGCAATTTGTTTGTTAAAGCCTGACATTGCTTCAACTTGTTGACAGGGACCAGTTCTCAGGACTTAGATCGATACTGGGAACACCAGAAGCAGTTTGATTGGTTCTGGAAACATCCAATTTTGTCTGACCCTGACACTTGTTTGCGGTTGAATGCTCTCAATTTGTGCATTACATGTTTTGCTGCCGGTATACATGAATGATCATGCAAGGACACAAACCTCTCAAAGACTGTGCCAATTGTTCTCCATGGGGATGATGGTGAAAGCCATCGACGGCGGACTTTCTGTGTGTTGACTTGGTCATCCTACCTCACAACCCACGCGTCTTCATATGACTCCAAGCTGTTGATCTATTGCGCTGACAATTTCCACTCTTGCAAGGAGACATATATTGGATTGGATTCGTGGTTGGTGTTTTCCTTGACGGAGCTTGCTGCAGGTGTCTTTTTAGACTTTTCGCCAGTTGGCCCTCTAAATCGTCCACACAATGGTCAACCCATTGCCAATGGATGGAGGGCAGTTGTGGTTGCCCATAAGGCTGACGAGTCTTATATCAAGCGGGCTTATGGCCTGAACCGGTCATGGGTTTCAGACCTAGTGTGCTGGTACTGTCGTGCTTCCAAGAAGTCGGACAGCGAATACCTTTACACATGTCATGGGCCACATGCCAAGCACCGAGAGACGATGACAAGCACAAGTGAGTTCATCACGAACATGGCATCTCCAGACAATCCTTGGGTCCGCCTCCCTGGTTGGGACATCCAAGTACTGATGTCAGACTGGCTTCACCTGGTAGACCTCAGCCTTGCACCTGACGCATGTGCCAGCGTTACTTGTATAATAGCATAGCGTGTTTTCGGTTTCTCCAATATTATTTGTTTGTCTTCGTGACTGTCTGTCAGGCTTTGATTGAACTCACAGAGTCCGATATTGTGTGGCGAGGTCTGGTCCTTGCTCCCAAAGTTGTTTGTTTTTCTTGCGGGGGGTAGGGTTCTCCAGTCTTCCCAGGTGCGAACCAAGATGATCGCTTGAGAACTGCTTATGTTGAGTTTTGCCGCGAGTGCCGGAGACACAAGATCAGCTCCATCCTTAGATACTTTGAGCTGCAAAGAACTGCAATGTGTGTTTTCCGGTTGCCTGAAACTGGACATGTCCAGGAAACAGATGCCAAATTTTTTCCTTGTGACTTGGCAACTGTTCCAGTTCACTTGTTGGTGTGCTTTCTGTTTGCTTGTGCACCTTTTGTTGAGTGAGGCAACACCTTGGCGTCACCTCGCTTGGCAAGAGCGGAAAGAAGTACCCATCCCTGGCGCAAAAACACCTGAATGGAGCAGCGGGGTGCTTATTTCGCTTATTTGCAGTTGTGAGGTTCCATGTGGTGGCCAAAGTGGGTCTAAGGAGTCAGTGATTATGTGCAGATTTCTGAAGGGAATCTGCTTGGGTGTTGCTGCATTGGACCCCACAAATGAGCATGCCATGCAGCTTGGTTGGTTGCTTTGTGTGGCTGGTGTGTTACTCCCGTTCGGTCGGAGCTTCAAACTTATGTCCAGGTTGAGGGCCGCTGTTTTTACCAACTTGGTTGGCATGAGGGATGCTTTGAGTAAGTCTGGCCTCATCATTTCGCCTGAGAGCCTGCAACAGTTGAAATCCTGTTGCTACCTCTACCACTCGGCCTTGAATGGTGACTTGGTTGCGTTTTGGAACCGCTTGATTGCTGGATGTGCGTGTTTGGTGTCATGACTTTCAGAGTGTATGCCATAGGCCTGGCGCTCTCTGCGCTTGAGTTGGGCAAGTTGGCTTGGAAAATTCGGCCAAAGGGCCACAAGTGCTACTCTCAGGGAACTCGTCTGTGTGTGTGCGTGTTCTGTGCCTGTTGGTCCATTGGAAATTGGACTTAGGTTGGACCATTTGGTCTTTGACCAAGCTGCAAGACACAACCCACTTCTCCTGAGCACCTATGGAGAAGAAGATTTTGTGCCTTGTTGGACATGGACACTGGAACTGGTGAACCTTACGTCAGTCACACGTTTTGCAATGAGCTAAGGTAGGGCGTGTGAAGCGATTTGCCATGCTGTCCCATCCCCGTCAGATGGGGAAGCAAGTGTTGCTGCGTTACAGTGCATACTGTTGCACGAGGTGGATGAGGAACCTCTAATTCAAAAGATGGATTTCCATCTCCAAATTCACGGGAGGTTCATGCGGGCTAGCATGCAAGTAGTGTATACTGTTTGAAACACGCAACACAAAACCCGACTTGGTGAATCTCCCACCCAAGCTCTCCTCGCTTGAAGAATGCTCATCGATGAAGCCGTTGAAGTCGATGAAGAAAGGTGCGGCGGGGAAAGGATGGAAATTGACAGATTGGGTTTGATATGGCTTGATTCGATGACATGAGGGGAACCATATCCAATCTGCCATTTTCAATCCTTCGGTTGGGATCTGCTTTGGAAAGGGGAGGTGGATAGAGGTCGCATTTTGTAAGTGACCTCTTCAGGGTCTAAGTGACCTCTTCAAACACCCTTAAAGGTCTTCAAAGTGACCTCTTCAAAAACATGTTGATAGCATATGCGTGTCTTTCAAGAAAGTTTGAAGCGTGCACAGGGAGGCTCCTGGTAAATATTTCATAAATATCTAAATCCAAATTCGTGAAAATTTAAAAATTTCTTTAAATGATATAATTTCAAAAATTGTCCGCCGACCCCGCCGTTGCAAGGGGGAGCGCGCCAGGGATTACGGGTAGCTGTTTGGGGGCTCATGGTAGCTGTTTGGGGGCTCATGGGGGTAGCTAAGTTTGAAGAATCGAGGTTTTTTTGAGGTCAGAACTGGCGCCGTTTGCTAAGCTTCAAACCTTTCCCGGGACCCCTGGCGACATTTTGGTTCCGGAAGCGAGACAAATGGAAACAAACTTCTTGTTTTCTAGGGATTCAGAGGCAGCGTTTGGCAGCGAAAGTGCAACCAGGGGAGGCTCGACCAGAACTAGGCCAGGATGCGCGTGCAGCGTTTGGCACCGAAAGTGCGACCAGGAGAGGCTCGTTTTGGACCAGAATTAGATGGAGAAAAGCCGTGGCGGCGCCAGGTGTTCGGGGCCAGGATGGGCGCAAGACAGGGAAGAAAAATCTTTTTTTATAGGGATTCAGAGGGGGCGTTTGGCATCGAAAGTGCGACCATGAGAGGCTCGTTTTGGACAAGAATTAGATGGGGAAACGTCGTGGCGGCGGCAGGTGTTCGGGGCCAGGATGGGCGCAAGAAAGGAAAGCAAAGTCTTTTTTTATAGGGATTTAGAGGGGGCGTTTGGCATCGAAAGTACGACCATGAGAGGCTCGTTTTGGACCAGAATTAGATGGGGAAAAGCCGTGGCGGCGCCAGGTGTTCGGGGCCAGGATGTGCGCAAGAAAAGAAAGAAAAATCTTTTTTTATAGGGATTCAGAGGGGGCGTTTGGCATCGAAAGTGCGACCATGAGAGGCTCGTTTTGGACAAGAATTAGATGGGGAAACGTCGTGGCGGCGGCAGGTGTTCGGGGCCAGGATAGGCGCAAGAAAGGAAAGCAAAATCTTTTTTTAATAGGGATTCAGAGGGAGTGTTTGGCATCGAAAGTGCCACCAGGGGAGGCTGTGCGAGATTATGGGCGGAATTGCGCAGATTGTGGGCTCGGGGCTCTGGCGCGCCAAATCCTTTTTTTTCTAGTGGCCCGAAACTGCCCTTCAAACGCCGCAAACCCCTCAAGCCCCTCAAACCCCTCAAACCCCTCGAACCCCTCGAACCCCTCAAACCCCTCAACCCCTCAAACCCCTCGAACCTGGCCAATGGTTCTGCCATACTGGTCGCTTCAAACCCCTCAAACCCCTCGAACCTTGCCAATGGTTCTGCCAGACTGGCCGTTGGAGACGCTCCAAAACCTCGCACTTGCTAGACTGTGGGCCCTGGGCTCTGTGCGCTAGCCGTTGGAGACGCTCCAAAACCTCGCACTTGCTAGACTGTGGGCTC